AGATAAACTCAGTGATTAAACCGAGTTTTTTCCAGCTAAGACTTATTGCTAAGGTGAAGCCATACCTCCCAAACAAGGACTTTGAGAAAGTGATTCATGCTCTCATTATATCTCGTTTGGATTATTGTAATTCTTTGCATGTTGCTTTAGAGAAATCTTCTCTGCATCGATTACAAGTTGTCCAGAACGCAGCAGCTCGTCTTTGTATAAAGTTCGAACACATATCCCCGGTTCTGGCTTCTCTCCATTGGCTTCCTGTTCATTTTAGGATAAATTTTAAGATTTTATTGCTTACTTTTAAAGCTTTAAAAGGTCTGGCCCCATCCTACCTGTGTGATCTCACTAACATCCACACTTCAGTTAGAGCACTTCGGTCCAACCAGTTCCTCTTAGATGTTCCCAGATCCAGGCTAAAGTTTAGAGGTGATTGGGCCTTTTGCAGTCTCTGTCCCAAAACTCTGGAATGATTTACCTCTTAGCATTCGGTTTGCAGAGACTGTTGAGACTTTTAAACCTCTACTTAAAACTCATTTTTACTCCCTGACCTTTCATTCTGGTAGAGTTTGAGATTCTTTTAATGATAATGTTTTTAATGTTTTCTGTATTTTAAATTGATTGTATTGTCTACATTTATGTGTTGCCTAATTGTTTTATTCATTTGGCTTAATTGTGAAGCACTATGGCCAACTTCTGTTGTTTTAATGTGCTATAAAATTGACATAGACATTGACATTCATATCTCTCACTTTATGACATAAAGTTTTGATTATCGCTCGTATTATAATAAGATAAGCGATAATCAAAAAGATTCTCTCAAGTTTTAGTAAAACTGTTTATTTCTGAAAAGCTTGATGCTATTTTCAGTTAGATTTTTACTAGTTGGGAATTTTGTTGGATTCTCAGCTACTAAATCACCACATTTAGCTCAGTATTGTAAAACTGGCTGATTTGTAGCCATTTTTGAGTTCCTAAAGGACTGCTGGCCACGGCAGCCATCTTGATTTGGCTTGATCCAAACCTTAATCAGTTGCAGATGCACTTTCAGTGAGTTTCATTAAAATCCAACAATGTGGTTCGTCAGATATTTCCTCAACACTTACAAACACACACAGTATACACACAAACATGTAAAAAAAACATGATCAGCAGTAAAGATGCATCAGAAACAGATAATCTGATCGCTGGACTTCATTCAGTCAAACCACTAAACGTGTGATCCCTCCCTCCTTTTTCTTCTGTGAATACACCCCCCACCACAAAAAAAATTATAAAAAAAAAAAAAAAACTCCCAGATGTGTGCCCTCATTAATTCAAGGGGGCAGGGGAGTCCTGGAGGATCTGCTACTCTGTTACAGCTTCGTAAATCCATGCTCTGATGTTCAAGGTGATAAATCTACTCTGCCTGACCCTACTGCACTCTTTGAATATATCAGTCACACACACACACACACACACACACACACACACACACACACACACACAGTGCAGCACAAGTGTGTGCACAGGGAGCAGTTGGGAGTGTAGGGTGAGGGCTTCCTGTCACTTGAATTACCCTCTACATGTGGGGTCAATATGTGCAATCCTGAAGAGTGCGCGCGCGCGTGCTAGCAATAAAGGTGGGGGCTGCACTCAGGAGTGCCCCCCCCCCCCCCCCCCCCCCC